GAACACCCCAGAAGGACAGGACAATAAATGCCATCAGTGCCACGGTCAATAGCATTTGCAGTAACTCACTGACCTGCTGGGCACCCTCTGCGGCTGCTGCAGCGGGTACTGCGGGGGGTAGTAGGGCTGCTGGAAAGCCTGCTGAGGGTGCGGGTTAACTGGGTAAGCTGGCACAGGAAACGTGTTCGGATGCATATCCTACAARGAAAATATAACCAGAGTGTTCACARATTGCACAKAGGGAATCAAAATATTTGTGTCACTAAATAAGTGACACTTGCTTGACAATGTCGGAGTTGCTCTTTCCTCTGAGAAATTCAGCAGGAAGAAGCAACAGCAGCCTGGGAAGTGCTGGATTTTGCAAAACACAGAAAGGCTGATCACAAGAACATTTGTTTTATTCTGGGAGTGTGCTTTGGCTGGCTGTGGCTTTCAGAGGAAAACAACTGCTCTGACAAGGRCTGAGAGCTGGCAGGTGTGCTCCCCTTCTCGTGTGGGGTGGGAACTCCAGCATGAGGAAAAGGAAGCAGCAAAGCAGGTGAGAGCTGCTTGTCAAGGCAAGCACAGCCTGGGACAAAGCTAAAACTGGGAAACTGAGCAGTTCCCCACACAACCCTTAGGAAACAAACAGAGTAACAAATAGAGAAAGGGAAAGTCGATGATTCCTACCATGGGTACAGCTCTCGGAGCATAAGGCATGCCGTGGGAGAAGCCTCTCTGCTGGTARTCCCTGGGTTCAGAGTCTGGCCGGGGAGGAGGTGACTGAAGTGACCTGAAATCCGATGGATATGGGCTGTGTGAGCACATAACCCGGGCACTGGGAACCTGACAGCTGCATTTATACCATCTTAGCATATATCAMGTGTCAGGAAGATAATATTTACCACAAATTTAAAAAAAAACAACCACCCTCTTTCTGTTCAGGATTCCAGCAGCTTCCCTTTGCCCCGTTATAAAAAGATGGGACCCAAAAATGTAAAGYCTATCACCCACACATGAGAACAAACATAAAACTAAACAGATTTGGGATAAATGTATCTTTTTTGTCATTGTCAGGGCAAGCCACATGTGCCATTGGATGCAGGGGCCTTCACCTGACATCCTGGGACGGGGACATCCTCCACACTTTGGCACTCATGTAAATGAATATCCAGACTATTCAAAGGGCAGAAAGGAGAAGACACTCACGAATGGCAGCGGGACCTCAACCTCCTGAAGCATCTCTTCAGCCTGTCTCTCTTGGCAAAGGCCAGGGCAGCAGCTATGAGGAGYGGGAGGACCAGGAAAAAGAACACAAGCAGCCCGTTGCGCAGCGAGGWGTCTGTGAGGGGACAAAACCATGAGAAGAAATGAGTCTTACGTGGTATTACCACCACCTCACTCATAATAACACTGAATATTTGGTAGGAATGATTCGATAACTGTATTCCATTTTTCACAGAAAAAAAAACAAAGAGAATCCAGTGGCTCTGCAAGATATGTGCCCAAATAGATTCTGTTCTGTTTATCTTTAGAGCTGTACATATCATGATACCTTGGGCTGCAACACCATGTTGAATTAGGAGATCAATCCTCATCTTTCATTACTGTAATGTTTCGTTACTAAAGATCTTACGAGAAAAGAAAACAGAGCTTCTGCCTTTTGGTCTGATCTTAAATCTACCTCTTCTCCAACTACTGCTTCAAACTCTCAGTGAGCAAAGTAAGCCTCCCAGCTCTGTCAAACAGCTTTGTCTCATGAAGGAATTGTGCTTCCCTTCACTGGGACTTCCCCTCCCAGTCCAGACACAGAGAAGCCCAAGAAGATCTTTGTTCCATGGTGATCCCTACAGATCCCTACCTCAGTATCTCAAGAGAAGTGCAACACCTGGAGCAGAAAAGCTCTGCCAGAATTCTTTGGCAATGAAACCTAGGGCAGAGCCATCCCCAAAGTTCCCTGACACACTGGGCCAGCCCCTGGCAGCCCCAGCTGTCACAGCCACTTGCCATTGTAGGGAGGGCCACTGTCCACGCTGCCTCCGTAGCCTTTGGTGTCACAGTGAGGGGGGGCCCAGCCTGCTTCACAGTGGCAGTTCCTGTTGTTGTTGCACACCTGTGTTCCAAAACAYGAGCACTCAGGAACTTTCATTTCCATGCATTTAAATCTGCATGCAGCAGCCACAACAGCCTGTTCTGTCCCTTGTACTGCTCAGCCTGGAGAGCTTTACCCAGTTACTCATGCAAATTCCAAACAGTCCTTGGCCAGGCAGCCCAAGATTTCACATGACTGAGCATGCACAGCCCTGCTCAGGAAGAGCTTCCAAGGATTAGCTATCCCAACAGCTTACACACTATGGCTTTTGCTTGGCTTCTTTTTTTTATTGTGAGACRCAGTGTCAAATTTCATTAGTAATACTGGAATTGGGAATTCTAGCCTGGCAGAGARTTTTGGCAAAGATTTCTTTGACACTGCTACAGACTTTCTTGCTTAGAGGTATTTTATAGAGAGTTCTACAGTTYGACAAAACAGAAAAGCAATTACTAATCACCATTTTAAAACTTGCTGCCTCTCTTCCCTGCTTACCCCATGCCCGTGGCACTGCCTCTCCACGTCACAATCATAGTTGAGGACAGAGGCACTCACACACTGGAAGTGTCTGCAGATCTGGGGAACAGAGATGAACACAGATGAGGGGAGATGGGATTTCAGAGCCCCCTTGCCTCCCCATATCCCTGCTCCCAGCTCCACAGCCATGCTGTGCTTGCTGCCACAAAGCCTCTCACACTCTCACTGAGAAATCCCAACTCTGCAGAAACTCTGCTCCACAAAAGGCCTCTCAGCATGGGGCTGAGCTGGCRCTGGAGCCTTTTGTCTGCAGTCTGAATGTAAAGGAACAGCAATTAAATTGTGCCCAGTAAGGACATGTGGAATGTACATTCCTCTGCTACAGCTAAGCCACTGCACTTTTTAGTTGAGTTGGATTTTAATTGAAAGCTGTCTTCAAGGCGTTTGTGTGGGCCTAGCCCTTCCTGCTCATTGACAGAGCAAAGATTCGGGCTCTCAAACTCAATTTCTTTCGCTTCACCTACAAATGAAAGGCTCATTAAATGTTTGATGCACATGCAGTGCAGCACTGGGGGAATCAATGGACTTGTTTAGTTTACATTAACTACAGGCATAAAAAAATAATGGTCAWAACTATTCATGAAACAATGCAGCTGAAAATTTTATTCCCATGACCACCCCAAATTATTACATTAGGATACCACTTCCTAATTTTCAATTACCTTTCCATTACCACACTTGGTGCCTTCATTCACCATTCCTGGGTCCGGGACATCAGAGCCCAGCTGGAAATCCACCCCCCAGCAGTACGTGGTGGTGTTTCTGATGGGAGTTTGGATAATAGCAGGCTTGATTCCAAACACAGGCATGGCTTTCACATTTTCACACTGTAGCTTCCCACACATGGCATTCCTACAACAGCAACACAGGAACACTTGAATTTATTCTGAGAACAAGACTACCATGTGTTTGATACTATCTTCCCTTTCTACTGGAAGATACTACTTGAAAACAAAATTGAAGCAACTTGACAAATAAAACTGAAGTGGGCCTCATTCCAGTGCTGCTAGAGTAGTTTATCCCTTCTTTCATTAAGCTGTTGGAATCTCTACATTAARGAAAACATGATGATTTGCTACACATCTTCCTGTATGTGAACAYTTAGGATAAACACAACCCACAGTGGGAGATGTGGAACACACTCTTCACACCACAGCCCTGCACCCCTCCCCTGTGCACCCACTACAACATCCCAAACTGACAGCACAGCACCCAAATACAGATTCCAAACAATGCATTTCAGAGCTTCCCAGGGCACTGGGCTCAACTCACCAGCTGGAACAYTTCTTGTAGTCATGGCCATGGAAACCACAGTTGCCAAATCTGTCCCCCTTGGAATTCACTTCAGCAAAGCAAATGTTAGGGGCTGCTCTGGCTTCTGCAAACAACAGCCCATCCCCAGAGAGAGGAGCATGTTACCCAGGCACAGAAACATCACACAGCATCTCCTRCACCCAGAGCAACTACCCTGCTACACCAAGTATTTGCCATGCAGCCATGAGCTTAGCAACTTGATCAAAACACTAAAAAGGCCACATCAGAATTACAAGGTTCCAAGTTCAAGCAGAGAAAAATGGTTACTTAACCTGAGCCAATTCTAACATTTGATAATTCTTTACAGCCCTATAGAGCAGAAACCCCACTGTACGAGAGCAAAATTACTTGAATCCCCAGCACACCACTAAGTGCAATACAGGAGGAATACATGAAGGCAAAACCATAACCACCACTGGCTCAAATCCTCTGCCAAAGCCAACTGGTCTTTGTTACAGAAAAGCAAGTAAATCTGCTAATAATAAATAAATAATGAAATAAACCTAATGTACTCTTTAGTTACAACTCTTAGAAGGACTGTAACACTATGCTCTTCCTTACTGGAGCCAAAGATATCCTGGCACTGTGCATCATAGTACTGGCACACGCCGTTGTAGCAGTAAGCCTCCTGGTTGTGGCAGGGGTGCCCGTTCTGCACGGTGAAGTCRGGCTGGCAGAACTGAGAGGTGCCATTGCAGAACTCCGGGAGGTCACACTCGTTGGTGCTCGCCCGACACTCGGTGCCTCCAGGGAGGAGCTACAGACAGAGGGGAGAGAAAAGTGCATCAGGAAACAGGAACCTGACAGCAAAGAGACACTGCACCTTCACAGCAAAGACAGACACTGCACCTGACCCATGTACAACCCAGTGAGGGACTGATCTGCAGGACAACTCTCTCTCACACATGCACTGTCTCAAGGGACTGATCTGCAGGACAACTCTCTCTCACACATGCACTGTCCAAGCCAAAGCTCTCCTCAGCTCCCAAACAGCACTGAAGTCTCTCACCTGGCAGTTTTTGCAGCAGTCACCATAGGCACACTCAGCACCAGAKCGGAGTCTGCAAGTTCCTGGCTCACAGCACGGATCACTTTCACATTCCTGGGGACAGAAATGCTCTGAATGCCACCAAATCTCCTCTGTCACATTCAGACCCCTCTGGGTGAGGGGCACAAGGCATCACTGGGAACACACACAGCTACAAACCTTTGGTGAGCCACAGTCACACTCTTCCCCAGCATCCACCAGCTTGTTCCCACAGTACGGGACACTGTAGGTCTCATCAGGCTTGGGAACGTTGAGCAGGCAGCTCCCACCTTTGTTGAGTGTCAGCTTCTCAAAGTCTTCTGCACTGCAGCTGCTGAAGTTCCTCGATCCCCTGCAATGGAGAAAATGAGCTGAGCTTTACAGTAAGCCAGCCTACAAGCATCCCCCCTGTTTGCAGAATAAGGGGAATGTTTGCTTTCCTCATCACAAGCACTACATGRCTATTTGAAAGGGGAATTTGAAGATGAAAGTAATCCATATAAACAAAGCACGTGGCTGGGGCATTTTGACCCTGCTTTGCCTTCCCTCAGTCTGCCACTTACGATGCTCCAGAGCTCATAATGCAGCTGCTCGCCCCACAGTGACAGACACGTTCATCATCGTGGTTCATCCCCAGGTTATGGCCAAGCTCATGAGCCATGATGGATGCAAACATCTGGATACTGATCCTTCCAAACTGCACAGGAGTGAAACAGATGGCAGTCAGCAGAGAGCTCATATTGACAAAGTCAATATGCAAAGGAGATGCTTTTGCTGTTCTGTCTCTACATTATCAGCATTCTCAGACCAACTGTGCTGGATTTCMAACCAAGTGCATGGAATTTACTGAGCAAGAAGAGCCCTCAGAGAAACCTTTCTGGGACACTACCCAACAACCTCCACTTTCCAGAGCAGCTGCAACATTAACACAAAAATCAGAACTCTCCACACCAGCCCAACTCTCCTGAAATGTGCACATTCCAGCACTTCTGTCACCAGTCCAAAGRAATCAGATTGCTGGGATTGCCAGTTATTTGGGGCCAGCAGCTCAGCTCATTAAGGCTCTGCAATTCCATATAAAACACAGCACTGCTCAGGGAGGTCACAGCTGCAGCTCAGACAGCACAGGACAGGTTTGCAAACACCCAGAGATCCCACATACTTCTGAGGCAGAAATGCTTAAAACTACCCAGAGTAATCCTCTCCCTTTTGCATGAGTGCTGCACAGAGGAGAGGGGAAGCTGAGCAGAAGACTACAGAGAAGTTGTGATCCAGATATCCTGAAAGTGTCAGAAATTGCTGAGGACAACATAGAAGCCACTTCAGCTTTGTTAAGAAAGACTCTGCACTTCCAGGAAGACTTTCAGAGTGCCCAGCTCTGATCTCAATCCCATTCAGAGATCACTAAAGAAATCTCACCACGTTGATGCCTCCTGCATGGCTCTTGGAGCACACTGTTCCCACRTAGGCCATTCCAGCTGTGCCACCAAAACCCTTCTTCCTACAGTCATGGAGAGAAAGGAAAGGCCATCATCTGTTTGTACAGACACACAGAGCCCACATCAGCACACAATTCCTTTCTGTGGGGCACAAACCCTGCTGCTGCAGCTTTCCAAGGAGCATTTTTCACTCAGGAGCACTGCTACTGGCTGCAGGCACAAATGCACCAGTTTTGCTTTCTGCTCAAGATTTGTTTGTTCTGTTAATTTAAGACAAGTGTTTGCAGAGAAAGCCTCTTCCACATTGTCCTTCTGCATATAAAGAGCTCAATGGCTCAACCTTAAAATAACTTGGGTCAATTGGCTTCATCTGCCTTTCTGCTATGGACAACTCCATAAAGGAGGATTTCTTCCTTTGTCAACTTCCTTTTCATTACTCTTTATTTTATTCATAAAGGTTAAGTGCCACAGCACAATACACAGCATTTTATTTCATATAAAACAACTGCCAAAATGAGTATTTTCTCAGCCATTTGCCTCTATCACTGCTGTGCTGTCCAGAGGAGGAGGTTCCCAGCTCCCAGAGGAAGGGAGGGATTCTGAGCTGCACTCTCACCTCTGCTCTTCCCCTGCTCTGGGCAGTCACTTCCCAAGGGCTGCATTATCTGCAGGAGCAGGAAGGGCACAGGACACGGGTCCTGGAAGGGGCAGGAACAGCTCAGGAAACTCTGGGATTGCTTCAGGACAGACTAACATCCCATGCCAAACTCAAARCACATCTCTGGCTTCTGGATACCAACTGCAGAAAGAACTTTTTCTCCACTAAAATAAAACACTCCACAACAGGTTTGTGCTTATTTTCAAGTGAAAAAGGCTCTGGGCTCACAAGTTCAACCTGTTGCAATATGACAGAGGACTATCTGAAGCTTTACACAATACAACACAGGACATTTTAGAATATGTGGGATCAGGAAAAAAATGTGTTATTTAGCAAAACATCTGTCAGAGGACACTGAAATCAAAGAGTGCAGAAAATTCTTCACTTGATTTGGAATGTTTTCACAAGACACAAAGCACTGCAGAAGGAGTTTCTCGGGMCCAAAGGGAAGGACTGGGACTCACAGGACAAACTGGGCACTGTCGTGTCTCCGCCGCAGCACGAGGTTCTTCTCTCGCCACTGTACAAAATTTGCCAGCACATCCCCAGCCCCTCCATCYGTGCTGATGATGTTTTCATGCTTCCAGATCTCCAGACCAACCAGCACGATGCGGATGTTCAACATAACATACATCTGGGGAGAAAAAAGAGAAATATTTATTCATATCTTCAGACAAAAACAAGTGGCCTGCTGCTGTAGATATTATTGCAAGTATCCACCTTTTCTGTGTGGGTTTGATTTTCTTTTCATAGCTAGTACAAAATTGCAACCACCAGAATGCATCTTCCCTGTGATTTAGGCTAAAGGATCAATGCTTAAACGCCTACATTGTAAGACAATACCAAAGAGAAATAAAAAGAAGCCTCAATCCTGACAAATATACAAATATAATGTGAAATATTAGAATTGTAGACATGTTTTTTCTCTAACCTTTACACAGACAKAAGCATGACAATAATTGCAACCAYCTRTCCTGTCACTCAYTGGATGTACTGCAGGTTGGAGGAGYTCCCTAAACTAATTCTCAAGGTGGATAAGATGAATTTTGGGATGGAAAAGCTCCCATGGTGATGCATTCCCCAAAGTGGTACCATAACAGACCCCAGGTGAACATTTCCAAAAGGCAGCAGGGCTGCAGCACACAACAATCCTCACACTCACACTGTCAAGGAAGTTTGCCAGCTGCACCATGTGTTCTCTTACTTCTGTTTCACTCTTCCCAAAATCTTCAAACTGCAAGACAAAGAGACTTCATCTCACAAAGAGACAAAGACAAGAGTCAGAAAAAGGAACAGAACATTTTGCCTGTCTCCAAATCTCCAAGATGATTCTAACATCAGCATCCTCACTGCTGTTGCTCAGCAGTGTGATATTCCAAAAACAACAGCAAAGGCAGTTTTTACAGTGAGCTWCGAGATTCCTTGCTGACAGAACCTCTCCATGTCTGCTGCTTTCCTCCTTTTCTGAGGAGGATTGCACASCACATGGTTATCCACTTCTAGGGTGGCATATTTGCACAGCCTGGATTAAGCATTAAGTGTTTTTCAAAAATCCACTTGGGAGTAATGAAGCCTGAGGGTTTTCCAGGCCCTCTCCAAAGGGGGGAAAAAAAAAGGGAAAAAAAAGGAAAGCCACACACAACTCCCACCTTCTCTTTATCCACAACTATGAACAGCTCCACGTATCTTGTCTGGTGCAGGACGGCCCTTTTACTCTGGGGAAAAAAAAGTTACAGACAATTTCAGATTAATTAATTCAAGTGTAAACAAAAAAAAACCCTCATGACATTGTTATATTTCACTTGATGCCACCAGTGGTTTCAGACACACCCAAAGCACCCAGTGCCAAACCCAAGCAGTGTAATCCAATATAACAACAATTTCTGTGTTTTACACTAAACCTCAGCTGCACAAAGACTTCTTCTGTCTCAAAAGCAAGGGACCASTGCACAGGTTGCTTTGGAAAGACAACACATGCTTTTATAAAGGGGTAAAAAGATTGAAGTGAAGCACAAGATTTTCCATTCTTCTGCTTTGACTGCAATCTTCCTCCTCAACAGACAGTCCTTGAAGGACAATGGGGACCTTCACACCACACTGCTGTTGTGATGGGGAGGAGGATGGAGTAAACACCACAATATTCTCCTGGCTCCTGATGCAGCACTGTGTTAATGAGCCTCTCCATAAGGGTCGTGTTCTTGCCCTTAAAGTCCCACAAAAAAGCCCAGGAATATCCTGAGCAGCTGCCCCCACCTCACTGCCATGTGCAGAAGCAGGAGGAAAATGCAGTGCTTTGGGTAAGAACTGGGTTTTCCAGCAGTGCAGGAACTCCCCAAATCATAAACCTTGAGGTATGTGCTAAGCCCCAGGAAATCTGATAAGCTGCTTCCCTACTCTGAAGTGAACTCACAAAACCCCTGATGGGGAACTGGGCAGGACTYACCCGCAGCAGCTGGCTCATACTGGGATGGAGATTTTCCTCTGTGTGCTCTCCTTCCTGGCCTTCAGCATTCACTCCACACGTTGTGGGCTCTYTCTTCACATTATCCAGTCGATATAAAATGTGTTTAGAGGCAGACGAGGAATCCATGGGCTCAATCCCATAGGTGACATTATCTATTGTCACCAAACCCCTAAAATATGGCAGYGTGTGAGAAATCCAGCACTGAGCAGAGGACAGTTACACAGAAGTTTTACAGCTAAACAAAGGAACAGTTATTCTTGGATAACCAAAGCCTGCCTATACCTCAGTTCTTGCAAAGCAACACACTTCACTTTAGGCCTGGCAGTAGCCTTTCACTGAGTGGGGCCTTACAAATGCATTAAATTAAACATCTCAGACTCTGCAATACAGGAATTACATCACAGTCTTAAGCAGAAATCCTTTAATTCAAATACACTATTGCCATTCTCATTTCTGGCATGGCCTTGCAAAAAATCAGTGGCCCAGAAGATAAAGCAATTAGCCCAAAGTAGAAAACCATTCCAATCAAACTTGAGGTGCACAAACTTTAGAGCCAATTTTGTGTTCAAGTTTTGATTTCTGCACTAGGTACAGTTGTCATGACCATCTGTGCACGTTAGCAAATAAACCAAATATGCATCAAAACCAACTCAGTGCACTCTGGCAACAAATGGCATTAATGAGTTATTTGATGGTACTTCCAATATCTGTGAACTCCTGGAATAAAAGCTGTCACAGGACAGCAGCACCAGGGCAGCTGAGTGCAGCCAGTGACTCCTGACTGCCTGAGCCACAGTTTAAACCAGAGAATGGGTTTGGGCTCAGCAGCTGCAGTGACAGTGGCACACAAAGCATGAGTTGTGCTACCTGAGGCCTGAGCAGGTGCTGAGAGCCACCAGGGAATGCAGGGTCCCCTCCACGTAGCCCTGGAAATGGCAGTGATCCTGCACAGGAAAAGAGAGCTGAGTTACACATGTGGTTCAGGTGTACCTGCACACCCAGAGCAGCCCCTGCCACTCACCAGCAGTGATTACAACCCAACAACACAACATTAAGTTAAATTTATCACAGCTGCATTTCTTAACTTGATCCAGGCTTTCCCTCTCCTGTTCTGTCCTCCACCCTGTCTCAAATATTTCATGGCCAGCCCCTCCCTACAGATTTGAGCCAAATTTCTCTTCAGTCTTTTGGCAGAAAGTTCTGGCTTGTCTGTCACCTCTCTGCAGCAGAAGAAGATCTACAGCTGCCATTTGTGCCAGCTGGGGCTGTGTGGTCAGAGCTTTCTGGTGTCATCCACAGCCCTCTTCAGCTTTCACAGATGCCAAACTTCACTGTGCATTCTGTATGTGCATGTTTTGGAAAGCAGACAAGGGGTAGCACAGGGCAAATACACTCCATTTTCTCTGCCAAGGGCATTTCTGGACTCTGACACAGGGTCTAGAACACAGATTTTGCCACCTGTGTCTCAGTGAGGAATGCAGAAAGCACAGAGGGCATGTGCTAATCCTTTAAAGCGAGTGTGACTTTTGTAAACTCAAGCAGCAAAAGCATTTTTCCTCCAACCAATCCCTTCCAACTAGGAAGCAAACAGTTATTTGGTTCAAGTGCTCTATTTTCAACAAGATCATATGAATCATGTAWGACTAACACTTCCCTTTCAAAGGAACAGCATTGATCCCCAAGAATGAAGCCATTAGAAAAACTCTCATGCATTTTGTATCACACAACCTGCTTTTTATCCTTATTCTACATTTCCAAAGGTAATCTGTCAGGCAGCTTGCTGGGACAGAAGGAAGGTGCAAACACACTTTCAGTGGAATATCACCTCCACATCAGCAAATACAGAGCTTTTATAGGTTAGATCCTCATCCAAAATTGAGGATTCTCTCCAGGAAAAGAGCAGTGGGTTCTGARGGTGGCACAGCAGAAATACAAATATCCTTTTGTAATCCCTTACTCCTTCATCCCACAGATGCTCAGTGTTCCASTCACTTCCAGGGAGGGGATGAAGAGACAAATCCTACCTGGACATCCGGATATTTCAGCTGCAACTTTCCCTCCTTGTCATAGGTATAAACTGTGAAATCTTTGGGCAGCAGTTCTCTGCAATGAAAAGGGAGAAGGAATACAATAGGAATTTCATAAATGACTATGACATTGGAGCAGAGCAGTAAGATTGTCCTAAACAAGAGTGTGACAAATAGGTTAATGGCAATTAAATACAGAAACATTAAACAGGAAACCCTTCCAAAATTAACAAACTGTGTATTTCCACAGCAAAATTCAAGAGACCAGAATGGTAGAACTGCTAATAAAAATCAAACTAAGTTTGATTTTCCCCAGTTTAGGAAGGAAGTGCACTGGAAAGTCTCCCACGACTGAGACTGCAGCACCATCCTGGCAATTCCATTGAATTCCCACGTTTTTCAGAGTCAGGGCCTGACAAGTGGGAGCTGCAGCTCCCCAAGGGTTTGTACAGTTTGTCCAGGGGCAGTTTGGAGCAGTAAATGACCACGAGTGGTGCTGCAAGTGGCCCTAAAACCCCAGACAGACAACATCCACATCAGCTGTGAGTTTTCCATATTCAGAGCTCAGAGAGAAAGTCCATTTCCTCATTTATTAGTGTCTGTGTGCTACTGAGACAGGAAAAAACATGAAACTAAAACAATAAATAAAATCCAGACAAAAGTGAAAATATTTACTTGAAATACAGTTCTGCTTGTTTATTTTTAGCTGTGAATGGAAAGAGTTGTAGATTCCCCAGTCTCCTCTGAGCAATCTGGAGCTTCCTGCTCTAAGGGGTTCCCCAGGGCTGCAGAAATCCAAAACCATCTCTGGCTGATGGCCAGGACATGGGACTCAATCTGGGAGGAACCTGCACTTCCCACACAGGAATGGWAATTCATGTGCTACCTGCAGCTTACATCTGGACACAGTACATTGAATRATTTAAAAATTCAAATAAATTCATCACTTACTTGTTCTTTTCTAGATGAACCGTGTATTCCTTTCCCTCAATCTCAATGGCATATGACACCTTGTCCTGAATATAAAGAAAGGTTTCTTTTACTCATAATGAATAAAACATTCTTCAAAGCCAGCAAAGGTACATGAGGCTGAAATTTATTTTATAATTGTCCCTGGAAGCTGACATCCTTTCCTGTATGACTGGGAAAAAGTCACGTGAAAGAAATTATTTCAAAATAGAACCGTGGTTTTCTTACTCCTTCCTTCTAAACATTCCACAGTAAAGTTGTGATTTAGAGCTGGAAAAGGACAGCACAATCCTTGTACTGAACATTTCCAGTGAGCAAAGCACCACCCCAGCCTTGCACACAGAACAGGAGTGGAGCAGAAAGGGCTGAGCTGAACTCCCARCCCTGGGATGAGGAATTGCAGCAGCCATTCCCAGCTGCAGTGACTGCACTTGGGGCAGCTCAGATCCTGCAGTGCTGGCAGGATTGGTGCCTGAACGCAGCTGCTCCATCCCCAACACTCTGAATTTATGTGGCCACTTCCAGCAGGCTGCAAATGTCACTGGAGGCTGCCTGATGTCACCCCCAGCCCCAGGCAGTGACAGCCACAGAGCTGGCCCAGGCTGCTCAGGGTCTCTTCCAGTCACATTCTGAGCATCTCCCACAATAACGATTTCTCCACCCTTCCTGCAGCTCATTCCAGTGCTGAACAACTCTCATGATTCAAGTTTTACACTCAGATCAAAAATCCACCACAGCAACTTGTGACCTGTGCAGGAGGGAGGTGCTTCCTGTGCCTCAGCTGCCAGCAATGCCAGAGGTGACACTTTGTGCAATGCCAGAGGTGACACTTTGTGCAAGCACGGACATTTACCTGCTGCCAGGTGAATCTGACACCATCCCATGGCATTTGGGGTCAGYTTTGGGTGGATTCTATTTGGAAGTAGACAATAAAACATCTTTCAAAGTGCCCAGTACCTCTACTGAGGAGCTGTTGGAAGCCGCTCGCCGCTCTCTTCCCAATYTCTGTGGAGTTACAACTTCGTAGGAAGTGAGCAGGGAAATGTCCTGGAAACCTGGAAAGCAAAACAGAAACACTGTTTAAAGGAAAAAGCAACCAAGAGGATGAGGCACAGGGATGAAAACACTGCTTCAGGAAAAGTCCACACACAGAAGAGCACAGAGCAAACCTCAGAGCAAGGCACACTTGGATTGCCTTGTAAAGGGCCAGAGAAAACACCACACAGGCAGCAGAGAAGACACCCATTTTTCCAGAAAGTTTCAAATTGAAATCTTCACATTCCAGTTACTGCCTTACCAGTACCCATCTCATACCACCATCCTTCAACAGCAGGAACAGCATTTCAAAGCAGGTGAGCACAGCAAGGACACCCAGACAGTGTCACACGAGGTGTCCTGGGCTGCAAAGCTGCACAAGTGCCCCTGCAGCCCCTCAAGGGGCTCCTGTGCTTCCCCATGGCACAGCCAGCCTCAGCAGTGCCTGGAATACCACACATTTCCMCAAGAGCTGCTTGGAAGTTGAAGACAAAGAAGTGAATCATCACATTAAGCAGAACWGGGAGGGATTTCTGGGAAGCACACAACTCCAAGAGGCCAATTCTCAACTCTCTGAACACTCTGACAGTTCTCYCCCCACTTTCTGCCCTCCATCCCTTCCTTCACCATCCCCAGTTTGGGGGTGAGGAGTCTCCAGCAGGTGTCTCACAGGCACAAACCCTCACTTTCCAAAAAAAAACTATTTCCACGCTGAGCATCCTGTTCAGCATTTCACACATTGCCAGCAACCCTCAAAGAGGGCACGGACTAGTTCAACAAAAATCCAACCAAAGGGACAGGAGAAGCCCAGCAGAAAACCACACATCTGCTCACACATCTTCCTCCAACAAAGATCAGGTGGAGTTTGCAATGAATTTTCCAGCAGTTCCAGGACTTCCAGTCCTCAGGTTCTTCCTTCCAGCCAAGGCAGCTGCCAGAGCTGCACCATGAACTGCTGAGAACGTGACGTGCTGATGACCCATTTCCGGGTGCAACACTGATTGAGRTTTGTTTCCGAAGAGAAAAACACAATTGCATCCATGACCATATTTATCTCACCTCATTAAAGGCTGCCATTAATTACCAAGCATTGGAGACARCTAAGAACATGTGACTCATCTTTCCCTSCCCASCCCAAACCCAGCTCCTCCCAYCCCTCAAAGGCTGAAGATTCAGTGGTGTTACACCTTCAAAACTCCTGGGAATGTCTGGCTGTTCTCCTACAGGGATTCTCCCTGGGACTTTCCTTTCCATCCCTCCCTCCCCTGCTCTCAGCCTTCAAACTTGCTGGCTCTGCTGCTGTGCCTTAGAAGGCAAAAAGAGATGACCAACCATCAAGCAAATTCATCTATCGATGTATTGCTCACCTGGAATATTTGTGTAATGTTAAACCTGGCCAGAACAGTTCCTGCAGTTTCTTTCAGTATTTCACTGGATGTTGATCAGGTTACAGARCTCTTCCACAGAAATATTTCCTAGAAAATTCTCACTCCCCCTTGYTGAAATCCAGACCTATGCTGTAAGTGTTTCCTGTCTAGACTCTCCCCATTCCTTCTGCCCAATTTGCCTGCRAGACAACAGCTCCCCTGTTCCACAGAAAGGATGTCACACGTGTCCTCTGGTGCTGTCACCACATCCTGTGCACTTGGAGCCTTGTGACAAGGAGGAGCAGGGTAAAGCTCTGCTCCACTCTGGCCAAGGTGAGCAATCTGAGCAGGACACTCCTCCTGTGGGTCCCAGGAATCCCTCCCTCACCCATGACAGGAGCTGAACATGCCAAACCCACTCACTTCCTCCATCTCACCAGCTCTCAATGTCAGCTCTGCTTACTCAGCTGAGCCCGTGGGAACCTTCTCTTGGGAGACATCACTGCCTTTACATTTGGCCACAAAGGGAACTGCAAAATGCACATTCTTATCCTTCTTTTAAATTTTAGCTTGAGAAATAATAATCATCAACACATGTGGAAACACCAAAGTCATGGTTCAAACTTCCTTTTTCCGAAAGCAAGATGCTATAAGGGGATGGACACAAACAAGATGCTATGGACAAAACAGGAGAGGAAAAGCCGCACACACAAATCCCTTAAGGTTACACATCACTATGCGAATACAGTAAYTCAGGAATTTTCAATTAATAATTTCTGGTCACCAGCAACAACACAGTGAATGAGAGAAAGACATTCCAGCACAGAATCCCTCGGGGAGAGGCACATACCCTGTCCTCAGCATGAACCACCAGTATCAAGCTGTATATTCCTCAGCTGGGAAAACCTGACTATAAAAACACGACAAACACAGAAGTTTTACACAG